CGCTAGAGCAGCCCTGGTTTTTCTTTTCCTCCCCAATGGGAAACCAAACACTTTCCTTCCCGAAGACCCGTGGAGAACCCACCTCACCACATCTGTTTCCATTGCCATGACAAGATCTGCTTAATTATGATGTTCAAAACAGCCCATAAACCCACAGCCTAATTTGTTCCAAATGGCTCTGAAAAAAGTGTATGATCTATCTAATTTGTCTGTAGCAGTAGTTAAAATTAAGCTATTATCAACAGTGCCAGTCACCATGCAATCTTTAGATCAGCCTGTCTGCTGAGCCTTTTTTTTTACAGCCTAATTGGAAACAGATTCAGGGACAATCAGCCAGAAGAGGTTCCCCTTGTGCATTAAGGCCACTTTTTTCCCTAATAGCATCCATGCTACTGGTGTTCATTTTGTTCCAGTTCCTGGAACTGCTTTGTCTTTCGTACAGATGAGAGACTGCGTTCTCACAGAAAAAAATGACAGTGATTAATGTTGGCAATTTGCCTTTGGCAGCGGCAGCAGCAACGGCAAGTTTCCTGAAGTCCAGAGATAAACACAAATGGAGCCACTTTTTCTAATGGTCTCGTATCAATGTATCACAACCATTTAACATTGTTTTCATTCATATAGTTCTTCTTAAATTTGCCTGCTTCCAATCTAGTCGAACAATAATGATATAAAACCTTCTCTAAAGGGACTAATTGTGTCAGTTTGTTGTAGCAAAGAAAATAAATAAAAAAGCAAGAATAAAAAGCAAGCAAACAATATGAGGGTCTTAACAGCACCTTAAATATTAACACATTTTAATTATTCAAGCTCTTGTAGATGATAATTTGCTTCTCCAGAAGCACAGATGTTTTCTTGTGTTCATAGTTGTTCTTCATCAGTGAAGAAAATCAGTAGGGATGAAAGATTTTAAAGCTTTCAATGACACCCCAGGAAAAAAAATTCTTAGTATTCTCTATAATTAACATACAAAGCAATTTTACCTTTCTGTAGGAAGATATGCCTGTCCCCTTTCTTCCCTCTTTCTTTTCCGCATTCCCTCCAAAGTAACTGTGACCACATTCCACACTACTAGTGAAATGAGTGGATTTGGATCTTTTAAAAAAATAAGGTTTTCTTATTTCAAGTTTCTTCATTAGTAAAACCAGTCTTCTTTTTAAAAATTTTTTATAATATTTTATTAGTTTTCTAATTTTACAATTAAGTATTTAAAAAGCAATGTGGTAACTGCGTTGATCAATAAAACTTTAGTATAAATCTCAAGTTACAATATCATATATTTCCTCTCTTTTTCCCTTAATATCTACTATCTCATATTAGGCTAATATAGTTCTTATTATTATCAACTACGGTAAGTAAAAACATATTTGTTACATTTATCAATAATTTTTAGCTTATATATATATCTTAATTGTGTTTGCATTCAATCCTTATATACTATCAATGTTCTGTTATTGCTTTCTTCCCAAGCTTTAATTCCCCGTCAATATTCAAATTAACATTTGGTATTTATCATTTCCAAGCTTTAGGTAACCAAAGTTTCCCTTATCTCAACTTCTTCCTTTTTCCCTTTTCATAACAAAATCTAATATTCTAAATACACAACTTATCTATTTGAATATGGTCTTACTCTGTTTTCTAAAAGTTATCTTCCACCATATTAATCTATCTAATTAATAATACAGTATACCCTCTAATAGATCAAAACCATTATATGTATTGTCTGGGTATTGGGCAAACAGAATTCTTATTTTCAACTGATTTCCAAATATTTTATATTAGGTGACCAAAATTTCCCTTATCTCAACTTCTCCCTTTTCCCCTTTTCATACCAAAGTCTATTAGTCTTGTTACACATCTTACCTATTCAATTATAATGTTACTTTATTTTCTAAAAATTATCTATTTTCCACTATATTCAACCCTCTAGTTAGTAATATGAGATCCCCTCTAATAAATCAAAACCCTTATTTTCTTCAGCCTTACTCTGGCTTTCTTCCTTTGCCAACTAACCTTCCACTGTCAATGCTTTTGAATCATCAAATAGTTTTCCCTCTATTATGATATATATTATTTGGAATAAGAAAGACTACTTGGTTGCAGTTTTTTGGGAAGAACTAGCCCATTTGTATTCATAAGATTGCCTTCCTATTCCAATTTCCCACAATTGTCCTGATAAGTTTATTTTCCTTTCTATCTGTTTTTCCTTTTCCTCAAATTTATTCTGATTTTTGTAAAAAGTCTTTTCTATTTTTAGTGTTGTCACTCCCTTTTCTAATTTTTCTGTTGGCTGGATCTGTTGGTCAATTGGGTCCTCTATCTTAGTATTTAGTTGTTCCACTTCTCCTGTTATTTTCTGCATTGTTAGTTCTTTGGTTGTAGTCAAGATCTGGGTTTGTATATTTAAGCTGGCATCTTGTTCCTTTATGTTGCATCTTATTTTGTCACAAGCTAAAAAAATGGTTTTGTGTATTGATTTCAACATGGAAAGGATTTTTTCCTGATCTTCATTCATATTCTCTTGATAGTATGTTAAGTTGAAGACTTTAGAATCAAATGTTAAGAATAGTTTTTTGTTTTTTATAGCTAGGTATGGGACATCAATTTCACATGTTATAGGTGGTCTTTATAGTAGAAATTGTTTGTCAAGTAAGAGTTTATAGTTTATAGTCCAAGGTATTCATCTCGTGTGATAACATATGCTTCTCATGTAAAGAAATAGGAAAGCAATTCCCCACATATAGCTCTGAAAGTCAGTAAAAGTTTATATTCATAGTTCAAACAGGCCAGATATGCCGCCCAGAAGTTCCTTCTTTGCAGCTGAGTTTTTCACAGGTGGTAGCTGTCAAGGTCAGAGTAGTTTTTTTCTGGGGTCAGGGCTTCAAGCCAAGTCTCTTTTAAGCAATAACAAGTTGTAATACTATACTTTGCCACAAGATGTCACTGATGCCGTATAATTTTTTTTAAGTCCAAAGTTTTTATGATAGTTTTTCAAGTCTTATTTTTTTTTAGATAAAAACAAACATCTCCAGTAAGAATAGGAATACTTTTAGTCCCCAAGTTTCAAAAGCCTATACATCCAATTAGATTAAAATTGTTCTTATAGTTGCTCTGTTTCCCTTGGGTAGTTAGTTGCCGCTGTTCTTAGATAGTGGGGTACAAATTCCCTTCCCTCTCCTCACAGGGGAAAAATACTTTGGGCAGCTTTTACAGGAAAAAATATTTGAAGTCTTAAAGAGAAGATCAGATCTCACCCAGTTTCATCCATGTTGCTTTAAAAGTGCTTGATGGTGATTTTGACTTCGGCTGTCAGCAGTTTAGTGATGAGCCATATTGCTATGGCTGATCTTTCCCCCGCTGGTTTGGAGGGCTTCCCCTCCTTGTTCATCGCCCCTATAGAGTGACTTTCAACCTTTCCAGGGTCCCCCAGCCCAGTGGGATGAATTCAGATGTGAAAGACAGAGCTTGTCTTCCAGCATCCACAGCACCGCGATGGCAAACCGGATGTCCAGTAAAACCTGTCTTCCTGATACTATCAGTTTCAAACATATCAGAATTATAAGCACAGAAATATTTTTCAAGCTGATCTGATTTCGCCTTTTCCAAAATGAAAAATGTATCTTGTCCCATGTATCATGGAAATAAATTTGTTATCAAATGCTTGTTTTAAATCTCTGTTGAGTTCTGTATCATTTACCGACCAGTGGAAGCACAACGTGTGATTTCCTTTTCTTATAACATCAGTGGAAGAATAAGTGGAATATAAGAATCAGTGGAATATAACAATTCCAGGTAGTTCTCTTACTAAATGAGTCAGTTGTTAAGTGAATTTTGCCCCATTTTACAAACTTTCTTGCCACAGTTGTTAAGTGAATCACCACAGTTGTGACATTAGTAACACAGTTATTAAGCAAATCCAGCTTCCCATTGACTTTGCTTGTCACAAGGTCGCAAAAGATGATCACGACCCCAGGATACTGCAATCATCATAAATATGAGTCAGTTGTCAAGTATCCAAATTTTGATAATATGACCATGGGGATATTGCAATGGTTGTGTGAAAAACTGTCATATGTCATTTTTTAGTGCCATTGTAACTTTGAATGGTCACTAAATGAACTGTTGTAAGTCAAGGACCTATGCTCTGCATTTGAATAGTAGTCTTATAGAATTGGACACTTCCCGTCTAGCTCCATGTCAGGAAAAGTTCCACATGTTAAATCTATGTCAGTCTGCTGCTCTGAGTGAAGCCAAAAAAAGTGAGGCAGTTCTGGATGTTCATGCACACATGTCCTATGAGCATAATCTGACAAAATTGTCAAGAAGAATAAATATCGACAGTAAGGAGCACACTCTTACTTCCTTAACTCCAGATTTCATACCGGAAGCCTAAAGAATCCAAGCCACCTTTGCCATACGAAATATCATTATGTGATGGTAGTAAAATGCTTAGAGAAACTTGTTTCTTCCACCAAGCTATACCTCTGAACATACTGTAGTGAGAGGCGATTGGCTGGTCTTCATAATTCAAAACCAACAATTATGTACTCTTATTGTCTTTCCATAACTCACCTAAACTTTCTTAATTATTGCTTTAAAATCAGCAGTACATCTGAATACTATGAAAAAGATAAATTACATATGTAGAGAATCGATTTTCTGTGATATTTTATGTAATGTAGACATATATTTGTAAAAGATCACATGGTGCAAATGTTCAGTTTTAATGGGTCTTCAGTCTATGATTTGAAATTGCATTGCAAGGAAGATATCTGGTGATTCTGACATTATTTTTGCATAATGCAAATGATTTTGCCAGTGTTTAAAGTAACATTATGAAAAGTGTACTTTAGTAAAATGCAAAAGCAATGCTGAAAGGAAATAAGATCACAGAACTGACTGCAGATTAAAGCATACCTTAATCAGGGATGGGGAACCTTCCCTCCATCCCCTAAACTGTTAAGTATGGACATGTGGTAAATAGAGTAATATATACCTACTTTTGAACCTTTGCTGGCTTCTCTGGGTAAGGGATAATCAGATCAATAGCAGAGTCTGGCTTCTGGAGGAGCGTGCCTAACTTTGTCTTGATTTCTTTGGCTCTGGAGAGAAAAATTATGAAATAATACATGAACATACAGTAGTTTCCACTAAATGCAAAATTGAAAAAGATGCTCCATTTGAGTGGCAGGGCATTTTCCTGAAAGCTATGAGATCCAAATATGTTACATTCTTTCTACATACTGAAAGTAGCTCAATATGTTCAATTAAGATAACCTGATCAAATCTCATAACCTGGTATCTCTAGACCGGTTTGATCACAGCTCCTGTCATTCCCAGTCAGTAGATTGACTGATCCTATTTCATTTAATTTCAGCTGTAGTCATTAATTTTTAAAATAATATTTTTCCTACTTATCTTTCACTCATTTAGAATAAATGGCGGAAGAGTTATGATAAATTGTGAAATAATTCTCCACCACAGAGAGTCTTATAGTTTTAAAGGGGGATGGAAGTCAAGTATTTTTTATTATAGCTATATGATGGTTTTAATATTTATTTATTAAATAAATTTGTATGGCTGCCGAACTCTATATGGTTACTCTGGGAGGCTTATAACATCCACAGAATAAAAACCCACAATATAAATTCATATCCCCCTCCTCTCCACAGCAGCAGCAACCAACACAATCAAACCAGTTACTTGATCTGTTCCGTATTAGGCCGGTATCCCCTCAGACCGATGACAAATCACGTATCTACCAAAGTCCAGGACTACCTGAGCAGGGCTGGTACAGCAAGAGACAGAATTGAGGAAGGCTTAGCCATCCCATCCTTGCTTTCCATTTTCAGCTGCCCTATGAAGCTTGGGAGAATGGACAGGACATGAAATATAAAGAAACAGAATTCTTCCAGAAGTTCTTTGTGGTGGGCGATCTGCTAAGATTTTGCTTTTCTACTAGGAACAGGAAAAGAGGATTAATTTCAACTATCTCTCTTCCATGTTTTTAAAATATGATTAACCAAAAGAGATTACTTAGGCCATTACTTAGGCTTAGTGCTTTTTTTGTAAAAAAAAAAAAAAGGTGCCGGAACTCACACACGTCATACAACCTGCCTTGCCTACCCTACAAGGTTCCATCCAAAAAAGGTGCCGGAACTCCGTTCTGGGCATTCTATGAGAAAAAAAGCCCTGCTTAGGCTAGCCCTCTCTATCACTCCCTCTGATTTGATTTTGCTGTTTGCATGCCTTTTTGTACTTAAAAGTAACTCAAAACACTGAACATACAAAATACTTCTTCTTTTTATTTTCCTCACAACAATCAGCTCCACCTAGTCATCCCACATATCATCTGTACTAATTAGTGTTAATGAAGTCTATTTATTATCAGGACAAAGCCTGATTGGTGACACATGAAATTAAATATATTTATCTGCTTGTGTTCATGGAATACTTGCTTAATAATAATTGCTTAATATCATTTGTGGACTAGGCCATAATTCCTTGGGGTCATACAAAATGCTAAATCGTAAAATCTGGATTGCCATTTGAAATTACTACCTTGGATTAGCACATTAAGCAAAAAAAAATAAGGTCATATTATAGCCTTAATTCAGTGCTGGCTTTAGTCAAACCCAGCTTTAGAGTACTTCCAGACAGACAATTGCATCTATGGATTCTTTTTCTCCATGATGGATCATCTCCAGAAACAAACTTATGGAAAACATGATGGGGAAATGGAGAAAGCACAAGTACTGTAGGGAGATAAGGAAGGGTACATCATGGTACACAGATGCAAGTAAGATAATTCATGTCATTTGCGTGATGGCAATAGCTTACACCTGATGACTCCTTGGCTTGGGGGCTGTTGGACTAGAAGTGCTCCAAAGTCTACTAAAGTCTACTAACTCTATGCTTCTATGTCATTGTGACATATAATCTGGAACTCATAGTATAAATAAGGCAGAGAGATTGCACAATATTAATCTTGCCAGATATCTGTTATAAAATTATCTTTATAATTTATAATCTGTTATAAAATTATTCTTATAAACCTTAAGTCTGCTAGGGATCTGGTCTGTTCTTGTATGCCATGCTCTGGGATAAATAGAAGGAACCAAACTATAAGCCCTCCATGTCCTATAATAGGAAATAGCAGATGTTTAAATTAAAAGCAAGCACAAAAATTATTCCCAGAAAGTGCCTTGGCTGAGCTCATTATTTCATCTCAAGTCTTATCCTCATTCACACCCTCTCATTATTTTGCTGACAAAAAACTTCAACTGTAATGCTTAAAGGAAGCGCAGCACCTCTGAACACGGAAGCTCCTTAGGGACTTCTGGCAAGTTAGTAGCAGCTGAACCCAAAGCTCTGCTGCTCAGGGAAATTTGCTCTCGCACCTAAAAAAAATTATTTTTATGCTAGTTTAGTTGATAGAACTCTTGCAAAGAAATTTTGAAACATTTGTTAGTTTACTCCTTATATTATTGTAAAATAGACAGTGACTTTAAATGTGAAGAATAACCCATCCATCCAATTAATCAATCAATCATACAGGCAACTTTTGTTTTTTTCTTCTTCTTCAGGTGTTTCAAAAGTAAATCATCAAATGATGTAATGTGTTATGGAGCCTTTGAAAGTCTCTTGATGTCATTAATTATCAGCCTTTTAAGTTGCTTTAATTTCTATTTCCATAAGCCCCTGCCCTAATAATAGAAATAATACTTTATGTAAACTAAAAAAAACCAAACATATATCCTTGTGCATGCATGCATACATGCACATACACATACCTGATAAAATTTAAGTTTGGAGTTTTAGATATTTACAGATTAAGAAAACAGCAATTTGTTGCCCAATTTGGTTGGACATTTTGGTAATATGGTCACACTCCAGTTGGAGGTTTTAAAGATAACACAACCAAAATAAATAAATAAATCTAGTTTATATATTAGAGAGGCTTAAAATAAGGCCATTACCTTTTTAGATGCTAATTTCCCATTTATTACTTATGGATAAAAGAATATAAACTCATATCCATATACCTCAGGGCTGTCATTAAACACACAATAACCTGAAAAGGCAAATATTGAAAGGATGGAGATGAATGGATCAGAATGGAAGAGGCTAGGGGGGGCGTTCTATGACCAATAACTAGTTTTTTTCAGCTGGTCAAGATCCTTTTGAATCCTGATTCTGTCTTCTGTAGAATTTTGTTATCCCTCTTAGCCTTATGCCCTCTGCAAAGAGATTGAAAAGTGGGGTCTCTCTCTCTCTCTTTCTCTCCCTCCCCCCTCTTTCTCTCCCTCTTGCCCCGCTCTTCATCCTAAGTGCTTCCACTTGGGGGGGGGGCATCTCTCCAGGTTGATGTGGACTCCTTAATGTATAAATGTTGAGTAGGCTGCTTTAACAGTGGCTGAAGCATCTAGCAAGTGTAGGATTATTTTATAAGGATAAATATACTGGAGGACGTCATCAAATGCATTGTTGAAGTCATTATACACTTCACTATAAACTCTGGCAGTGTGAGAACTAGTCTCCAATTAGATCTATTTCTCACTTTGAATTTATAAGCAATAGCAGATAAAATTTAACATTTTAAAACAGTTGCCCTATGTCAAAAGCATATGGATGGGAGAATTAGATTTCCTATTCCAATGGTATCAGTGTTCATTTTAAAAAAACCAGATTCAGGTAGATGCTAATAGTGAAGCATTAATCCTATTCTTATTACTGTTCTGAAACTATTTTTAAGAAATCTACCCATGGGTAGAGTCATCAAAGTCAAGAGTCAAATCTTAATGCAGATCCAAGCTAAGAAATAAAGGACAATACTACATATGCATAATGGATACGAACATAACATATTCCATTTCTTTCTCTGGAGCAGTCTCATAGAGCAATTTTTTCATTGCAAAGCGGCATTGTTCTGATGATGCCAAAGATGTGACAAAACATGTCTTCAGACATTAAGCAAACACAAAGTTAAATAAAATAAACCAACTGGCAAAATATATAAGAGAACAATTAAATGACTTGGGTTTTCCACTATCAATCAATGGAATCTCACTTTGTATCATAATCCATGCCATAACTCAGAGAAGAATGTTTGCAAAAATTAATTGGCCGTCAACACAGGAAATAAAAACTACTCTTAATCTAGTGAGGTTTGACATATATATTTGCACCCTCTTGTTTCCCATATGTATTTTCAGGAACCCTAGATAGAATAATATAAAAATAATTAGGATGGCTAAAAACAAATTCTGTCTTCCTCCAAGTAGCCTTCTATGAAAAAAATCTTCCTGAATCAAAATAGCTCATAGACAGTAGATAAAATAGTAGAAAGAGAAATACACAGAAAGAAGATCCAGAATCTATAGATTCTAATCACCTTGAAGCAAAGTTATTCAAGTGATTTTATTACTCCTGGGCCACTGTGATAAGTAATTCACTACTCTCAAGTTTTCATACCAGTTTTTGGTTCATTTCAGGCTAATTAAAAGTGCTGGTGAAAAGTTTTTGAAACTGATGACTCTTCATCATATATACATTTCATTTTTGAGATCCTGCTCTTTTTTATTTTATTCCATAATTTTATCATAGTATTTATTTATCAGGGCCTGCAATTATCTAAGTCACTTCCTTCCTACTAGAAATACAAAGAGATTGCATTTATACCTGCTTTTTTTTTCTTTTAGTTGAAGAATAGCATAACTCTGCATTGATGCAAACCAAGTTGTGAAAGTGATAATGAGTAAACTCATTATCAATGGATAAGGGTTATATCTTTTAAAATCATAAGCTGGAATGTTTCCCCCCAAAATAGGTTACTCCCATTACTATGATAGAATTCTGTTATTTTATGATAGTTAACAAATAAACTATCAACACTTGAAGACAATGATCTCACCTGTATTTTAAATTTAATTTTAATTTTATTCTTCTTTATAATAGCTACAAGTATGTGTATATGAATGAGTAAATGAGTGGATATATGAATGAGTAAATGAGTGGATAGATGGGCAAGTGAATGAAAGCTCGAAAAATTATCTTATTTTTTCCTTGTATTTAATGATGGATGGAAACTTAAGAGAAAGATCTCTGAAAACCTTTTGAGCAACGGTATGATGATGATTATTTAATTGTCATAAGATATTTATCTCAGTAGCTTTCTGCTTATATCTTGGGTTTTAGCATGAAGCTGGGAGGAAAGTAATTAAAAGCATGAGAAAAAGCCAAACAAAATATGACAAGAACAGTTCATGTAAGACTATCTGTCGTCATATACTTGTGAAATAGTGTTTCTGTGTGAGATAGAGTTTTAAAGTGCATCATATCTTTAACTGAAAATCAATCTTTCCCTTAGTCACAATTTTCCCTTTCAAAAGCTCTTTTACAAGAAAAAAAAAGCTTTTAATTATGCTAGTTTGGATGAGAAATTTATATTAATAACCCATGCTCTGCATTGCAGTAGATTTAACAGGATTTGGGGTGATTTGGGTCCTCAATCTTTAACCATTTCTTAACACCTTTTTTTTTTAGGGTTATGCATCCAAATGTAATTTACCTTTCTCATCTCAAGCCCAATGAGAAATAAAGGCCATTAGTTTGGTCAGTTCACTTGCTTAATTCCTCCAAAACTAAATGAGAACCGAACTTCTCAACATTTCTTTAAGCAGGCATCTCTTCTGCACAGAGATGGGCTAATCTTTTATTCTGCCAGATTGCTGCAGGGTCTCTGCTATCTCCATCACATCACTTTCCTCATCGATAGGCATAAATTTGTTCTCTCACCTCTCCAGACATGTGTGGGGCAAGGCTGCTAATCCTTTGCACATCTTGCCGGGTGGTTATTGTATCCTTGAAGACAACCAGATGGAGTATGAGAAGGCAGAAGCGCTCGCTGTCTATAAAACAGCCTATCTTTTTCAGGAAGATATAAAGCGGCTGTCTTGAATCCCAGCCAGCCCCTTTGGCCAATCACATTCAGTCTAGTGTTTTTGAGCAGAGGAGCAGAGATGAATGAGAAAGTCACAGATCAATCACCAGGCAGAGAGATGGGACTTTTCTTTCCCTCTTTTTGTTTTTCACAAATTAATTACTGTTCACTCAGAATCACTTAAAGTGGACTTGCCCCATCTTTCATCCTGTCAAATTACAGGGAAATTGTTTTCTTCTATTTGTGGAACAAAATAAATGGAGTAAATGGAATTAGCCCCCAAGGGACTAATTGCGATCATAGTCATGGACATTCTAAATGCACATTTCTAACTGTGAAATTGTGGTGGTAATAGAACTAACTCAGGCAGTGTGGTATTTGCTTGGGTGTACCTAGAGAAGAAAACTCAAGTCATTTTCATATATAGGTATCTATATTAGATATCTATTAAAATAACTGTCATATTTTAGGACTAGAAAAATTAGGGATGAAAGATGAAACTCCATGTTTTATTTTTCCAAGGAATACAAAAGAAAGCTCCAGCTACGTTTTAGCTTCCTATTGTTTCTGTCCTTCTCTAGCAAATGAAAACTAATGCAAAAAGGCATTGTTGCAGATATGTAACGACTAGCTGCAGAGGTGTCCGCAGGATACAGTAAAAAAAGATGAGACATTGTCTTTTACACACGTTATAAAAACATGGAGCTTTGATTGCAATCATTCTCACTATCTTGACTTTTTTAACCAAACCTTGTGGATATCCTATTTATTTCATTGATGTTATCATGTTGAAAGTGTTAGCACAACTACTTCTGTGTAGAAATATAGCCATTTTGTTATGACAGACAGCTCAACCTTCCCCCAGTGGATGTAATGATTTAAAAGTTCATCATTATTTATCTCCATGTAGCATATGAAAGATCAAAGACTTAAAGTCACTGTGATATTTAATAGCTAAAGTGGGATTTGAACTGGGCACTTCCACATTTGTAACTGATTTTATTAGCCATGGATTTTATCAGGGCAAATGGACTTAGGCAAGACACAAACTGCCCACTTCAAATCCTTTTTCAATTGTAAATGTATACTTTGGATTAAGACATGCTGAGAAAGATGAAACTTTATTTCTAAGTAAACATACACAGGACTGAGTAAGGCCTCAGGACACATTTCCACTGACATCAACAGCGACTGTTTGGAAATGAACTTGTTTACCACAGTTCTGAAGAATGTATGTTATGAGCAATCTGATCTTTTGCTCCTGAAATGGAATACTTCCTTTTCAATTATTGAAGAGAGGTTTGATGAACAGTCTGTGCTGCAAGTTCTTTTAAGCATCTGAGTAATGAAGAATCATGCTTACAGGAATGAATCGACCATTAAGTTCATTTATTGGCTATGTTTGCACTCTCTTCTTTTAGAATTGACAGAAAATCACCTTCCTTGTATTTCTTCTACTGTAAGTCCCTTTAGTATAGAACTTATTCAAATTATTCTGTATGGCAATAATTCCTCCCTATGTAACCCCCTCTTCTCACTTTCACTGAAGAAAATGACCAACAGATTCAAGATGAATGTTCTTCTGCTGCGATCTTCACTGTGCGAGAGATTTGTAAAATCAAACAGTTTTTGATTTATTTCTATTATTTATTTGTAAGAAATAAGTGGAAATTTTTCTTTGCACTGGAGACTCAGGCACCCTCTAGAGCACAGGTCGGCAACCTGCGGCTCCCGAGCCGCATGCGGCTCTTTGAGCCTTCCCCTGTGGCTCCCAGCCTCCTCTGTCTTTGCAGAGAGACAGAGACAGAGAGAGGCAATTGCGCTTCCCTGCTTTTCTCTCTCTCTCTCTCTCTGTGTGTTTTTGTATGTATGTGTATGTGTATGTGTAAAAGAGCGTGCACTCACAGTGTTCTCCGAGGAGCTGAAAAGCTTACTGGGCGGAGCTCCTCCCTTTGCTGCGTCTCTGCAGGAAGCAGGAAGGGCAGGAGAGAGCTAGCTAGCCCAGCTAGGCTGACTCAGGAATTCTGGGAGTTGAAGTCCATGAGTCATAAAAGAGACGAGGTTGCTTGAAGCTTGCCAGGTGAGCAGCAGATAGGTTGCTTACCCCTGAGCTTGTTGGACAACAAGCTTGAAGCTTGCCAGGTGAGCAGCAGAAAGAGAGGGAGAGAAAGAGAGAGGGGGGGGAGGGAGAAAGAGAGAGAGAGAGAGGAAAGAGAGAGAGAAAGAGAGTGGGGGAAGAGGAGTGGCAGACCAAGGGCAGATAGAGAGGGAGGGAGAGAGAGAGACAGAGAGAGAGAGAGAGACCCTTTTGACATCTAAAATGAAGATAACACTGCATATATCCTTTTTTTTACCTTTGTGTGTATGTAATTTTATTCTCTTAAAGCATTCTCCTGGTGATCATTGTTTTAATAGTATGGATATTCCCAAGAGTCATATTTTTACTTTTATTTTTAATGTCATATTTTTACTTTTATTTTTAATATACACATATACACATACATACACACACACACACACACACCTATAATAAAGGTAAAAAAGGATATATGCAGTGTTATCTTCATTTTAGATATCAAAAGGGTTTTGCGGCTCCCGGTGTTTTGTTTTTGGTGGGAAACGGGTCCAAGTGGCTCTTTGAGTGTTTTGGGTTGCCTACTCCTGCTCTAGACAGATCTGCAGAACAAAAAACATGCTTCCTGTGGTACAACCCCAACTAGTTCTGGGTTTTGTGAAGCTACCATTTGTGGCTAAGGAACTTTTCACCATTCCGTTTGGCAAGTCTTTACCTCATTTAGATATATTGCAAAATACTGCTGAATCACAAATAAAAAAAAAATCTCTATTCTGTATTTCTGCTGTGAAACATTATGTAGGGTGAAGAGATTCACTTTTAAAGAGTTATGAATTCTGTCGAAGGATAACTAAGCAAACAACTTGGTTATTTTTGACATCCAGAGAGGCAAAATATACTTAAAAAGATAATTATATATTTTAAGCTCTTTCCCAGATTTAAATATTGCTGTTTTTGTAAAAAAAAAAATGAATTATTTTTATAATTGAAAATTGTCTTGCAACAAAGTTTATTTTAATGAATCAGGACTTCTCCAATATGTAATAAATCCAAATTATACAATTACCAACAAAACAATGTTTTGTTCAGTATATTTACAATGTATATGTTTGTAAAAACAACCCAAAGCAGTAGCTTAGATGACTTACGTATCTGGCAACTGTAGGAACTTTATCTTTTCCCTGCAGATATTGACAGAGCATCATCTTATATATTAAGGACAGAATAAAAACAAAAATGTAGTTTTTGCTGCAATATCCATTTTCCAATGGAACAGAAAGATGTTTCAGAATTAATGATATTCAGTTTGTTCAAAGTTATCAGCAAAGTAGTCAATCTTCTAAGCAGTCAAGGCTTTGTTTTACCCTTAAATGCTCTTCAGTTTGAGTCATATTTCCATGGGAAACATGTTCACGCTTCTGCGCTCATAAAATAACACAAATGTTGAGATTCTAAAGTCAAAATGCCAGACCAAAGTCAGCACTGGAAACAATCTTAGCACATTAGGAGGCCTTCCTTTGCAGCCAACATCTGCCGATGGATTTTGTCTTGCTGAAGCTCCTCGTGGTTTGGATGCCAGAGTTTCAGAATGATCCTTTCAATGTTGAGGGCATAAACAGTATGGGCAGGGACCACTTCCCGGTGGATCTGCAAGTACACAAGTGAAAATCTTACTGGCCACAAATTATTATCTTAAATGTCCACATTCACAAATAGTAACTAGTGATCATATGTTCATAGATGTACAGCATATAACCTTGTAATAAACAGATGGGGGAGGGAAACAGATGAACATTTTGGATATCTAATATTATTATTAACACAGAAGCATTTCAAGCAAATCAATGAACCTTTCTCACTTGCTTCCTCAGGCTCACCTGATCTCAATGAGACATTAGTTAACTGCCCAGAGGAAAAAGAGGGGAAATTATTTAGAGCATACAAAACAAACATCAGGAGCTGCAGTAGAGTAATTGTATAATTGATAGGCAATGTTACAGGGGGAGATCAGTGCTAGAATTTTCCATATTAGCCCCAAATAATCACATTTACTTTATTGGGCCAAACAATATAGAGCATTATACCAGTCTTTCCAGAATGTATCTGGATACAAATGGAGTTCACTGGTATAGATACATATTTTATATGGCAGATGCTTTGCATAACATGACTTAATTTTTCAAGAAATGTATCCACATTTCTTTACAGTTCATAATTTAGATTGAATTGTAATACATTACAAATATCATGCAAACATTATACAATATGAATATCAGTATAACTAGGTTTGAAAATTTCTCTCTTCCAGTAAAACCTGAAATTTATAAAAAAAAACTAGCTAAGTGACGACTATCAGAGGTATCCGGAATATTGTTTATTAATTTGTTATAACTGTTTTGAAAATGTGATTTACAAATTTGAATTGAATTATGTTCTTATTGAGATTAAAGTTATGTTACTTCTAGACAATTCACTATGCTATGTTCTTGTAAAATACCATGAAGCTATTTAAGAATAAATAGAAAACAAGCTACCGTAAATGCTGGGTACAAGGCGACCCGGCGTATAAGACGACCCCCATCTTTATAGCCCGGCCGCATTCCTAGAACGTCGTCTTATACACCGGAAACTACCAGTATTTCCGGCGTATAAGACGACTCGGCGTATAAGACGACCCCCGTCTTTGGTGCCGATTTCAGCGCTCGCGGAAGTCGCCTTATACGCCGGCATTTACGGTATTTATTTTCTTTCTGGCTATTCTTTCCTATACCCCCATTATTTGGAAGTAACTTCTTAGTCGAAGAACATCTCCATCAGGAGAGTAGCAACTGAAATTAAAATACGTAATCTGTGAAAGTTACCTGCAGTGCCTCAAAGAGATCATACATGTTCACTGGGGACAGAGTTGCTGGTGAGGTGTCCCCAGAACAGGCCAAAAGGAGGGCTGCTTGTTGCTCTGCATCGTCAGGTGGTAGATGGGAAGCGAGGTTTTGACCAGGTGGGGGAGCCAAGCAGGTAGGAGGGCTAGGAAAAGGAACAAGTTGGAGAAAAATGGATT